GCTTATCTTTGATCTTTATATGCTTTAAAATAATTATGCAATTCATGTTATATTTTTAAACTTAATGGTAAAAGTTGTATTCAGTACCTTAATTAATCTAGATTGGTATGGCGATTACTAACTGCATTCAAGGATATCCATTCTTATCTTCTATTTCTTTTACCTGTAATAACATTCTATCATGTACAATTTTTTATACCTCTTCAGAAAATTTGATGCTTGTGGAGATTGGAGGGGAGGTGAGAGATTTGTTAAGAATATTTGAAATGAAAAACCATCCTGAGTAGATCCAGAAACATGAGGCTTTCATGTGACAAATTCAATATAAACTCAACTGTTGCCTGAGTATTTGGGAAGGAAATAAAAGCTGTCATATACTCACAGTGGCATAATAAACAAATGTTAATTGATGTGCTTTGTTTGAAATACTTCCAGGGAGACTTGCAGTGAGCAAGGTTTTCCTGTATAGGCAATTCAGCAGCATATGTTAGCACATGCAGGAAAAGTCATCTTCTATAAGTGCTTTCTGCCATCTGGCATATGACCTAAATATCTAAAGAAATATGTACAGCTGAAATGAACTGGTGATGTTATTCAGAATACCTTTGACTCATCAGGTAAAGCTCTTTGTGGTTAACATTTCATGGTGAGGTTGTTAAAGTAAAATTTGTTTTTATTCTTAAGGATATTTGCATACTCCCAGTGTATTTTCCAGAGAAGAAAAACAAACAAAAAAAAAAAAAAAAAAAAAAACCAAAAAAAAACAAACAGCATGAGTAATCTACATTTTCTCATCACCTGTCTCTCCCCTTCTCTGTGTGTGGCTTTTCTCCTGACATAAATGGAAACTCTGGGTGTAGAAAAGGCAGTGTACTTTAAATATTTATCCATAGAATGCCAGAGTAACAAATACTTTAAGAAAGCAAAAATAATATTTGTAGAGCCTTTACATGACATCAGGCACTGTGCTAGGTTTCTTATGTACATGAGTTCTTAGGCTCTACAGCTCTCCTACAATCATCATCACACATATAGATCAAAGATGTGAGTCTCAATGAGATAAAGTAATAGGCTGGTGGTGGATGGACCGAGTGAGCTTTTCCCAGAGATTCTGCGATGTCTATTGTTTCATATTCTCTCTAATATGAAATATAAACAAAGAACCAACATTTACTGAAGGACTTCTGTATGCTAGACACTGTGCTAGAAAATATATTCAGTTTTTGTGTTTAACCTTTACAATTCTGTAAAAGGGACTACTATTGTCGTTCAAAATCGGCAATAAGAAAACATGCTCTAAGATGGTTAGGTGATATGTGGGAGATCATACAACTGACTATTCATTAAATCAAACTTTCTCAAACTCTGTTGTACCTACAAGGGGAGGGCTTGAGTTATTCATTTAAAATATGCTTCTTTATCATGAAAATGACATGAAGGGTCACATTTTTAATATTAAGGAATTACTCTTGCTGTTCCCCTTCTGAATTTTATAATTCTGGTAGGAAATAATCATTTGGGACTACCAATGAGTCACTTAAAATTTGAAAGTTAAAAAGAGAAACCTCTTTTTCCCCAAAACAAGTCAAATATTCCTAGCTGTAGTATTACTTCAGGAAATGTGGGGATATCTTTAAAATAGGCAATAGGAGAGAGGGAGAGAATTTACTGTAAAATATGCTTTTGGTGTGTTTGCTATATTTCTCTAATTATTGGTGGAAATTTGAAAACTTTAGAGAGGATTTTTTTTCTTTCTTGCTGCTACCACATCTTCATTTCTTATGGAATTCACCCTGTACTGTTTTATCCATCTTCTTGCTGCCACCTGCATTAATGCTGTTTTTCTTAACCTTCTTTATTCCCAGTCCAAAAGCAAAGTGTGAGCATCTGTTCTTGCCTGGGGTTAGCATAGGTGTGTAAGAAAGATAGCCTTTAAGAATAGTAGTTCTCCAATTTTAATACTGAAAGTATAGGTTGACATGAATGTTAAAAATTACCACTTTTTAAGCACTTCTATTGGATATAAAATCTGTGTCATAGTAAGAACTTGAACAGAAAACAGAAATTTTTAATTTTACACAAAAGTATCACAAACATACATATGGAAGTGGTATGAAAAAGCAAACAAAAAATATGCTTTCATTTGCACAGAATATTCAGTATTATATGCCTAATGCTTATGTAATTATTTTTTGTTGCTTTATTTCTTTCAGTGGAGCTTCACAGATAAATTTGAGATTAATACTATGTCTGTGATTGTAGATGTCACAAATTAAGCATGATATTCTTGTACTGTAATCTAAAAGTAGACTATGCACTATGGATATGAAATATTTTTTCCTCTCTCAAATACAATGATACTATGGAAAGTTAAATACCTAGAAAATTATGGGAATTTCTCTCCATATTTAATAAAAAACTTATCTTTTGGTATCTCCGCTGAGCAAATTTTGGAGACGGGAAGGAGTTTAAAAAACATCTCATGTAGTCTTTTAATGAAGAGTGTTGGAAACTCATGGATTAAATAACTTATTCCATGCATAACCAAAGTTTCCTAAGCATTTTGGCCAAGAACTTTTAATTCTGCACATTAAACTATGCTACTTGAAAACATCAACATAAGTAGTTATTTTAAACCTAAAACCCTGTTCCTAATAACCTAAGGGTTCTGGGAGGATTTTGTAGAGATTATCTGAAGAAAACTGCCATCTGAACTCGAAGATGTAAAATACAGTATGCTATAGCTTTAAATAGCTTTATGTCATTAAATATGGATATCAGAAGTTCAAATTTAGTTCTTAATAAATGTCACGTTTCAATAATGCAATATCAAAGAAATGCCTTAATTTTTAGAGTTTACATAATCATCATTAATGTTCCAATTATAGTTTATGTGCTGCAGAAGTGAGCACCATAATCATCATTAAAAAAACCAGGCAGACTCATACCTAATGAAAAGGCAAATATTTCCATGTGGTTGAAGGTGGAGTTTGAGAAGTCCATTGCCAGCCTGCATAGGGAAATTATGGACTTGAAATCTATTGTAATGTGTAGCAATTAATATCTTCTGTACATGTCCTTTCAAGATGTCATGACATAAGTCTATGGACAGATGACATTTAAGCCTCTGAATTGTTATATATTAGAATGAAGACTTTAAGAGGGAACATGACAACAGAGGTATAATCATGATCTGATTTGATACATTTGGGAACATGAAAGTAATGACGCAACCACAACTGTTGCAGGGCAGAGGCTGGGACTTTTCTTGCACTGGTATAGGAGTGGATACAAAGGCCAGAGAAGTGTGCTCTGGCCATGTGGACGGAACTAGACCCCTTCAGCCTGCAGCAGTCCATGTGCCTTCTGTGTCTTGAACTCAACTGGGAGCCACTAGATGGAGCCAGCAGTTGCTCTGCATTCTGAGCTCGGTTGGCTTCTCTCTAAGACGGCTCCCAGCCAACTGCCCTCTTCTGCGGGATGTCTGAACCCAAAAACCTCACCAGCCACTGCAGTGTCCTCTTTACCCACTGCTCCATTCCACTGGTGTGTTTCTCCATGGAAGCCTCTAGGGTCACCAGTAGTCCCTATGTGTCTGTAGGTTTGAGTTGCCCCTCCCAGTTAGTGAGCCTAGGCTGGGGAGAAAGCACTGTCTAACACCTCCTCCTTTTTCATTCAAGTTTCTCTCTTCATCGTGCTCACAGGCTTCAGTTCTTGCTTCAGATCCTTCCTGGGTTTAGGGGACGCACTTCCCACCTTCTTCTCTTCCTCATGTTGCTATATTCCAGTGTCTGGGCAGCAAATCTCATAGAGGCTCTTTCTTTGCTGCTCACCATTCTGCCATCTTCCTGGAAGAATCTATTTTATTATTTAAAATTTTTTTTTCACCTTATTCTTTCCCATTCTCTTTGGATTTCATAGTAATGTATATCTGCTTAGCTCTCTTTTACTATTTTCCTCAACACTTTCCTTTACTTCCTAGTTTCCATAAAGAGAATATAGTGTACTGTACTTGTTCCACTTTCATTTCTTCAGAGATTTAATAGTCAATCTTTCATTAGTAATTTAATTGACTTAAGGATGATCTTAGGATATTATGAAGAGCTATATGAAGATGGATAATGTTCAATAAACTTTTAAAAAATGTAAATGGAAATAAAGATCATCAAACTTTGTTATGAGAGAATGAGTTTCTAGTACAAACATACTGAAATAGTAAAAAACTTGTAGCATGTGGCATTTTACTTATATCTTCATTTATTATTTATAATTCCAAGTAGAGAAATTATGCCTTTAACTATTTAAAAAGAAGTACCTAAAGATCAATCAAGAACATTATCAAATATAAATAGAATATTACAAAAAATAAAGATTGCCTAAATATTTGGGAAATTTTTAGAATCCTTTTTTTATTTAGAACATATTCAGTTTATGTAGTGAACCATAACATGATACTCCATTTATATGCACATTGGTCATGTTTTTATATATCACTTAAAAATAAATTTTAAAAATAAATGGAAATCTGAATTCTATAGCCTCTTCAATTTAAAATAATTGAAAATACTTTGTTTCCTACTGAAAAATTTTGTTATATGCAAATATTCTTTTCACTTCAATGAAGTTTTAGACTGTACACAAAAAAATGGATGTCTGATTCAATAAAACAAGTATTCAAGTGATTGCTTCATTTCTTATTAAATCAATAGTATAAGTAATAATGAAACTATTGCTGGCAAGTGTCTGAAATGTAAAATGTAAATTTTATTGTTATATTTTCAAAATTTCAAGGTTGGATGCACTGATATTGTTTATTTTATGAAATCCTGTTGATTTTAAAAATCAGTTTGGCAGGTAGTTTTTATAAAGGTTATTTTCATTCAGAGGGAAGAATGCAATATTAATACAAAGTGAACATACATTTTATATTTTGCCTAATAATATCTTTTTCCTCTCATTTAATTCTACTTCAAATGGTTCTTTTTTTTTTTTTTCAACAGGCTGAGTTAAATGACCGAAGTGACCCTTTCACTAGATACAGTAGGAAAGTCCCGTCAAAAGCAAAGGAAGAGGTTTTCTCCAAGTACATTGGCTGGAGAGTTGCCAATGCACTTTCCAAACTCTTGTTCCCGCCTCCAGATGTCCGTGTGCTTCCTTTGAAGAAACCAGCAGTACAACAGGATCAAATGAAATATCTAAATAAAAAACAGGAATCCACGAAGAGGGTTCTACATTTTACTGTTAGGTAAGTCAAGCACTATTAGTTCTATTACCTCAATACATTACACTTCAAAATCACAAGTCTTACAGATAATCATGTCACATTATTTAATTGTTTCTCTTGTTCAACTCAGATCCTCATTGTATTACCTCCTAAATAGTTTATCCTAAGCAAGATACTACCTTTTGAGAAACTGTTTCCTCAAGGATAAAAGAGGTATTATATAATACAAAATAAAGTGAATGTAATTCTTGTGGGAATTATGTTACATGAAAAATTCTCATTCAATATTCAAAATTTTAAGATTGTTTTCTGTACACGTATATATGTGGATACATATTTAATGTGTGCTTAAATCATTTTAGAGTTTTGAATATAATGAGCTTCCAATAAATGGTAGGTATGAAGATATTTATTGTATTTTGTATTTCATTTCCTTAAAAATGTCTTTAAATTTGTGCCTAATGATTCCAGAGCTTTGTACTTAGGAAAGATTTATTGAAGTGAATATTTTTAAAATTTTCTTCAACTTCTTAGAATCTTTGCTACCACTTAAGATACTTTGACATTTTCCATACTGGCTCTTTTCCAGCAGGTTACAAAGTAAATGAAGAATCACTCTATTGGTGTGTAGCACAGGCTGTTTTTTATATTTGCAAATCTTTCATCAAAGTTTTATTTAAGGTTTAAATTTTTGGTTGGTTAGCCCAATTCCCTTTAAAGAGTATATTATGTTATGTAGAGTCTGACAAAAATGTATACAGCAGGAAAAGAAAACCTGGTATAAAATCTTAGTACTAAATTTATTGAGACATGAAAAGATTAATACAAATTATCTTTGGCCTTTACAATTATAAGAGGTGCTCAAAGTGGTGGCCATTAGCTTCCAGACATTTATTAGTACAGCAAACTTCCACCGTGTGCACACATTTCTTTGCAGATTCTATTTTCTTCTGTTGATTTTGAGAAAATCAGAATGTAGTCAGAACTTTTGATATTTTGAACAATTCATTTTTGGAGTGTGTTTGTGTTAGATTCCCATTGATAGTTGTTAGATTGTACTTTGATTTCTACTTTGCCTTTCCTGATATACTTTAAAAAAAAATTATACCCGCTGTATCTTGTCCCTGGCTTAGAAATGATATTGGGTTTTGCCTTTGTATCTTCTTACCATCTAAATATTTTATTTCTGGACTAGAGGAATTGAATCCACTGGGTGAACTTAGCTGGTCTAAATAGCTGCTGATAATGTCTGTAAATTTAGATTTAACAGTGCATTTTACTTACATTACTGAACATATACTTTCTTAGGCACTTATTTATTTTTCAGTTGATTAAAGTATTTTGGTTTTTAAAATGTCTGCCAAGTTTTAAAAAAATATATTGTTTTCCTGTCCATGAATGAGAAGTAATTTAGACGAACATAAAAATCTTTCTTGAAAATCACTTACTCCTTTGTAATTATCACCTGTTGATAAATGTGTTTTAAAAGCCTTTAAATACTTTGAAAAATATTATATACTTTAATTTGTAAGATTCCCTTGTCTTTTTTTGCTAAAAAAACTTCTACCATTTGCTCTCAAACTTTTTTCATGAGAAGTGCATCTGAATGTTATACCCTAATAGCATAGCATGCAAACATCCCTAGTTACTGACCACACTTGCCTACTTTCCTTCCATTCCTTCCTACTCTATGTAACAGCATCAGTAATTCCTCTGTACCCTTTCTGGGTGTGTAAAGTGCATACATATGAAAATATCCATAAAATGCAAATATAAAAAGGTATAAGTGTTTTTTAATTCCTCTCCATTTTTACATGAAAAATAGCATATTAAAATACTACTTACAGCTTATAATTTTTCATTTAACCTCATCACATAAACAGGAATTTCTGGTATCATTATCAATTTTAATGACATAAGATGTTCCCTTAGCATGAATTTGAATAATTTATTTAACCAGCTTTGTGCTGGTTGGCATTTGGGTTGTTTTAGATTGCTACTGTAGAAAGGGCCACAAAAAGTACCCTTAATAATCTTTCTTTTTCTCCATGTGGGAGAATACCTTCAAGATAATATTCAAAAGTGTGGCTTCTGAGTCCACCTGTATATTGCTTTGTAATGTTGGGAGACATTTTCAAATTGACTTTCAGAAAAGTTATGTAAATTTATATCTTCATTATAAGCATGCAAGAGTGGTCAGACATTTGGGCTTTGACCATCTGAGAATTAAGATATTGTTTCTAAATATTGTCTAATTCTTATTCATATACTCATATCACTTTGAAATTTTAAATTAATTTCAAAAAGCTTATTGTTTCCATGATTTTGAAAATTAACATCTAAACCTGATGGCATGTATTTACTTTTATTCAGAATTTCTTCAGAGATCTTCAGAAATGTTTACATGTTTTCATATATGTCTTGTATTTTTCTTGGTACATTCATTGCTAGGTAGTTTATCTCTTTTGTTGCAGATATAATCCTTTCTCCAAATGTAGCTTCTCGCAGTTGTTCCTTATGTGTGTTCTAGCCTATTGTAGTCTGCATATTAATTTTATGCCCTACTAGTTTAGTAAATTTACCTGAGCCTTTTTTTCTAGGTTGATAATTTCATCACACATAGTTTATTTCTCCTTTCTTGATTTTGTACTTCTACCTTTTTCTCACATCTTTCAGTGTCTCAAGTATGCTCTATTCCTTAATAATAATGAGTGTGCACATTTCATCACCACCGCCTTTTTTAACTGAGAAAGCATTTAGTGTTTTCCAGTTGTTCATGATGCTGATTTTAGGACTATAATTTCTTAGGGGCTAGGGATATAGCTCAGAGGTATAAGCACCTGCCTGGCAAGCATGAGACTGTGAGTTTGATTCCCAGTACAATAATAATAATAATAATAATAATAATCATAATCATAATTTCTTATGCTCACTAAGCTGCTTTATTAGAAAAATACTTGCACTCTTTATAAGAAATTCACTTTAGAGTTGAGGGTACATAGGATAAAATTAAAGGAATGGAAAAGGATATTCCATGCAAAATGTTAACCGAAAGAAAGCATAGGTAGTTATGCTTATATCAAGCAAAATGGACATTAGGTTAAAAAAAACTTCCCCCAAAGACAAGGAGAATATGATCTAATGACAAAAGAATCAAGCCACTAGGAAGTTATAGCCATTATAAATATGTGTATGCAGCCAGTATCAGAGCACTTAAATATGTACAGCAAAGATTGATGAAATTGAAAGGAAAAACAGACAGAAATATAATAATGGTAGGAGGTTTTCTTCGATGATGGATAGAAAAATCAGGCAGAATGTGGAAACACTGCCCTTGCTGAACACTGTTGAGAGGTCCTCAGAGATCCTTAGAGAACATTCCACCCAGGAGCAGCACAATACATGCTCTTTTCCATGTCAGGTGACTTTCTGCTGGTGGTCTTACAACAAGGGTTACCAGATTTTAAAAAGACTGAAATCATATCAAGTTTCTTTTCTCTCCCTAATGGAACAAAATTAGAAAACAATAGAACAAAAACTAAAAATGTACTGTATTGATGAAAAAAATTTAAGAACACAAAACGAATGAATGCCACTTTATATTCATGAAATGAAAGAATTAATACTACTAACATGGTTATATTAATGACAGAGATTTACTAATCCAACATAATTTCTATGAAAATCCCAAAAACCTTTTCAAGGAAATAGAAGAAAATTTAAATTCATATGGAAGCACAAAAATCCATAAATATGTAAATCAGTTATGAGAAAGAACAAAGCTATAAGCAATACAATTGTTGGTTTCCAAATATATCACAAAGCTACAGTAATTGAAACAGTATAGTATAAGCATAAAGACAGAGATATAGACTAACAGAATGCAACAGAAGTAAAAAATATATCTATATGGTCATTTGACCTTCAACAAGAATGACAAGAATAGATATTGGGGAAATAATAAACTAATACATGATTCTGGAAAAACTATTTCTTCATGCAAAATAATGAAATTGGACCCTAATCTTTCACTATACATGAAAATCACCTCAAAATGTGTTAAAAACTTAAGTATAAATTACAAAACCATAAAAGTTTCATAAGAAAGCATAGGCACATCTTCATGGCATTGGCCTTTGTAAGAATTTTTTTAATATGCCAATAAAGGAAAAACAACAAAAGTAAACCAGTTGGAATACACCAGACCAAAAGGCTTTTGTAGAGCAAATGAATAATGAAATGAAAAGGCATTCTACATAATGGGAAGTATATTATCAATCACCTGTATGACAAAGAGTTCAATTCTAACATACATAAGGACACCTACAGCTCAATTGCAAATCAACTTTTTAAAATAAAAAACTAATAACTCTACTTTAAAAATACATTAGATTATTAAACAGACACTTTTCCAGAAAAGATTTATAATTGGCAATGTGTATAAGACAAATGTCCAAGATTACTAATGATCAGGTTATTTTTTGGGAGAGAAAGACCTTGGGAGGTGAAAATCAATGGACAGAAAGGCTGAATGGAAGAGAATCAATACCTTCACCCTAGCTGGCAGCCAACAGCAAGGTCCTAGACCTTCTAGGAGACAATTGCATTTACAGTGCAGCCCAGCTGCCAGCTGATATGGCTTCATGAATGAGTTTATCCAATATGATACTGTATAAACTTGAACATTCCCAGTGAGCCCTGCCACAATTCCTGACCAATACAACTGGGACAACAGATGTTTATTATTTTAAGTCACTGTGTTTTGAGATGGTTTTTTAAATGGCAACATGCGATAAAACAGAATCTTCCTTGGTTATAATAGTTTAGTATCATGCTGCTGGTTTATTCCTGTTTCCAAAAATTGATCTAAAAATTTTACATCAGTAGTCCTAAATGAGACAGGTTTATAATTGTATTTGCTTGGTTTTATCTTTGTCAGATGTCAATGCTATTCTTTAAACATTTCCATTTCTTTTTCTGTGTGAAAGTAATTTGGGCTGTTCTGTTTGGGATGTGATCTG